CGTCCCACCTCTCCCTGTCAGCCTGGAAAACAAATCTGGGGCAGTTGCTGGGGGAGGTGGGGAGAGTGGGGCCGAGAACTTCATGAGGCAGGCTCAAGTTCATCCACAAACGCTTGGAGAGGGCAGCATCTGACCCACTTTGAGGGGAACACAGACTCTAGAAGAGTGTGTGCGGCGTCTGCTCTGCATACACAATGAGAGGGAAGGGAACCCTGCGGTCCTTGGCTGCCCAGGCCCAAGGAAGGCTGTGGCGCTCCAGAGCAGCCTTTATTAGAAAGGATTGAGTTTTTAATAACCCCAAATGGGGAACCCTGTGCTGAGCCAGCTGTTCATGGGAGGCATCTGTAGGCATCTGCAGGGGAAAGTTGATAATGGGACTGAAGTCATGAAGCTGCTGCAGCCCCTTCCAGCCGGAGAGCTCCCTGTGGCAGGGGCAGGCCTCCGGCCATCGGTGTAGGTACTCAGGCTTGGGCTCCGAGCCGCTGCACTGTGTCTCCCCTCAGCATCCCTCGTCTACCTGCGGCTGACAGAAGCTAGAGCCCCTGCTCATTTGTGAGATGGGCCTGCCTTTCATTCTCCCAGCTCAGAGCTTCCCTGAAGTGGATCAGAGTAGATGCTGGGGGCCGTGGAGCAGAAAAAGGGCTTCTCTCCAGGCACCACAGCTGGGATGTGGCAGAGGGGAGGCTGCCCAGAGCCAACCTGGGTGCTTCTAGATCTCACCGTAACACCAGTGTGGACACCCAGTGCCATGCTCTCTTGAGGTGGCTGTGGTCATGTCCCCGGTCTCACGGCCAGCCTCCAGAGAGGCTCATCTTGATGCCACTTTTGGGATGCAGCGGCTGACCAAGATGACTCTGAAGACAGCCACGCTCACCGTGGCTCCCCTCTGTGTACCTCGCAGGTGCTGTGCTAACAACACGGTCCCTTTCGAGGCCTTGCTGCCGCTGTGCAGACAAGGAACCTGGCAGAGGAGGCTCAGTCCATTTGCACACACTGGGAGTAAACACCACCTGTCCCTCACGGGGGGGAACAAGGTAGGGAGGTCCAGTGTGACCTCCAGTAGGTGCGCCACCTGACGCAGAGTAGCTACTGGAGACCTGACTGCTCCAGAACCTGGCGGCCGCCTGGGGGTGAGCCAGCTAGGAAGTACAACAGCCTCACTGCTAGGGACAGGACACTGAGACCCTCCTTTCCCATGTGGATTCAGAGGTATCTGCCACCCAGGCATCCCACACTGACCAGGCCAGTCTCCCCAGAACTTATTTGGGGAGCAAAAGAAATGAGCAGACATGATTGCATGTCATCCATGCTTTGAGTTCCTGGATAAGTGATATTTACAAAGGCCATTTAACCCTTTCAGTGCCATTCTGGCAGAACGAGAGGGCTTCCGAGGCTACTAAAGGGGAGGAGGGCAGAGCAGAGCCCCTCAGAGGAGCTGGCCCGAAGGCTCCTCAGCACAGCTCCGGGGCTGCTGTCTCTTCCGTCCTCGTTTCAACAGATGGCAGAACTAATTCCTAATTAAGCCCAAGAAAGTTTCCGGCTCAGCACATTTATTTATGATTTTCCGGTCCCTTTGGTGCTTATTCTTCCCCTTTGTCTTCCTGGAACCCAAGCCAGCTTATTGCCAATCCTGAGCTCCCCACTCTGCTGTTGGGAAAGCATGGCCTCATCTGGGGAGAGGGGAGAGGGGAGAGGAAGGGGTATGGCAGGAGTGTGGGAAGGAGGGTGGGCTGTGCGGGACTCGGTCACACAGCTGCTTTTAAGACAGAATGAAAAGGGAGTTTGTGGCAAACTGACAACTTGGCACGGACTTGAGAGGACAAACAGGCTTCTGAGGTCCACCGCCTTTAGGGTGGTTCTCAAAAACCTGCCTGGAGTGAGCTTGGCCCAGAGGTGGGAAACCCTCATGGGGTCCCTCCCCCAAGCAGGGCTGCCAGCTCTGTGTGGCTTAGTGGCTCCATGGGGACCTCTGACCTCCATCCCCATCATCCCCTCCTGAGCCTTGCTGCTGTCCGGGGTTGGGAGGGGAACACACCTGCCTCCAGCGCTGGGAAGAAAAATACCCCAGTGGTCCCAGTGCTGGCAGCTGGGGACAGAACCCTAGACCTGGCTGCATTTCAGAGTGTACTTAACTGGGCAATTTTTCTTCTGGTGAGAGGGCTGTGTCATAGAAAGGTTTGCTTTTTAAGCCCAGAGGTCCGAGTCTCTCATGGAGAAAAATCACTCCTGTGCTGTCGCCCCCGGCAGCATTCTGGAGAAAAGGTTCACCAGAGAGGCTCCTGACATTTGATTATCTCTTGGATCAAAGGAAAAGAGAGGCAGATGACTTGCTAAGACAACAATGTCAAGACAACAATGTCACCACCAAAAAAACAAGTGCTGTCGACCTTCACAAGCTGGTCTCCACCTCCGGCTCCTGATGCTGCCAAGAGCCTCTCTCGAGGCCACTGTCACCTGCTCCGCAGCACTGCAGGGCCCCGGGAGCCTCGGGTGGGAGACCTGGGGATGGGAAGAGGCTGGGGGAAACAGCAGTCGACTTTCTAAAGCAACTGTCAAGTCTACCGTGAGCCTGACTCCGGGGAAGGAGGGTCTCCAACAGCAGGATGGCAAGGGGCCCAGGTTGTCCCCTGCCGCCTTCCAGGACCCCAGGCCCTGCTGGCCACGGAGCTCGGCTTCTCCTCTGATGGATGCAGGGGTACAGCTGGTCTCCTGCTCACAGACAATCGCTCTTTATTTGCCCTCAGTCTCCTCTTCTCCTTTTCACAATCTTCTCCCAGACACAGGAAGGAATCTGTCACACTAAACAAGTGCAGGAGGCTTCGGAAGCCATTAACTGTCACTATCCTGGGTGTCATCCCCTCTTGGGCTGTCACGCTGGCTAAAGCAGGAATGTCCTCTCTACCTCTCCCAGACTGTTCCTGTCCTCCTAGATGAGGGGAAGGAGACGGGAATCAGCTCAGCTTTCTCCACGCCAGTGTCCAAGGGGCCCTTCCCTCTCCCCACTGCTGAGGTCAAGTACAGCCAGTCCCCACACAGGGTAGGGGCCAGACCTGGGGGCTACAGACACGGCTGCGGGAAGCCACAGGAGCTGGAGCACCAGACTTAGGCCAGGAAGGCAAGGAGGGAGAATGGTTTTCTCCAAATCTGCTTTACTGAGAAAGCTTCTTCTGAGACTACCAGGTCTTACCCAATTGGCCTTACCCAGAGCTTTCAAATACTTCTTATAAGCAGAGAAATAGGAAGGGTAGGCGGCTGAGCCCTGGTGTTTCTGATCCCTGCTGACTCCGACTTCTGGACATAATCCCTCCTGGCACCCAGGGAGGCTCCATTCTAAATCTGTCCTTGGAGCCAGTGGGATCCCCAGGTCCTAAGTAACAATTCTCATCTTTCCCCAGGTAGTCATGTTAAATTAACCTGGGGCTTTGGAACTTGTGAGTGAAATGCGGGAACAGCACTCACTGGTAAGTACGTGACCATACAGACTGAATGGGGCAGATGCAGCCTTCTGCTTGGTCCAGGGATGGACAAGTGTACTCCTGCTTCCTTGTGTCAGCTGGATGGCCAAGGACGGGCTCAGCCCAGATGATGTGCCCCTGCGGGGGCCTCACAACTCATCTCTGTCCTGCTCTCATTTCCTTGCAAGGACAAACCAAGAGTGCAAAGAAGTTACAGGCTGGTGAGTTTGGCTCAAGACAGGGAAAAACTTTCCAGCACTGACATAAACCCCTCAGAATGGAGTGGGAGCCTCACCCAGTTGTGAGCTCTGGGCCCCAGAGGCCACCCTGTCCCCTGTGCTGTATAGCCTGCTCTTAGAGGGGCGGGGCAGGGCTACCTGACTGCTGTGGCCCCTTCCAACTAAAGATGCCAAGACTCCCATGTGCGGAGGCTCCTTACACTGACCTCTCGTAATGTCCCAAGTCTGGGGAGCCAGGGGAACTGCAGATGCCGAGCTGCTGGGAGGCATTTAGATAGGGAAGCGTCCTCAGCAACCATGACCCACTGCTGAGTCCTGGCATGGAATCAGGATCAGCGTGCACCCCCAGAGTCTGAATGAGGGTAGAAGGGGCGAGGGCAGTGGGAAAGGGGGCTGGGTAAGGTGGTCAGGAAGGAGGAGCCCCAACCTTGGCTCCTCTAGAGTCTCTGTGCTGAGAGGCAGGCAAGCTCCTGGAGCCTGGACACATCCACTCTTCCAGGGCCCTCTATCAGAGCAGCAACAGCCTTCGTTGCTTTTAGATTAAGCAGAAGAAGTGTCCAAAGAACACCCAGAGCGGAGCTGACCAAAGAGGGCCCCACCGGCTCCTGTCCTCCGTCCAGGTGGATCGGCAGCTGGCCCCTTCCCTGAGGTGGCTGGCAGGATGGTGTGGTAGAAGTGGACCAGCCCCCTACCACCAACCTGGTTTTGGGGTACAGACCCCAAGACCGCAGCTGAGGACAATGGCGCTCGTGCTCAGCAGGGTGTCTGTCGGTTAGAAGACGCCGTGGAGGAGGTGTCTTTTCATGCCCTGGTGGCCAGAGACTCAGAGGCAGAGAGTGGCTGTTGCGAAGGCCTGCTGGCTTTTATGGTTATGCCACATAGCACACTCATGAGAACGCAGAGCCATGACGCGCCCATGCCCTGCAGGGCACAGTTCAACCCAGGCCTTTCGGAGCCCCCGCTGCCAGCCTGTGGGTCAGAGGGCACCCAGAATGGTTGTATGAGAAAGAAGCTGGTCCTAGAATCAACAGGCCTGGGATCTAGCCCCGGCTCCATCCATACCATGTGACCTTCAAAAAAAAAAATCACCTTTTTTGGTGCCAAATTTCCCCAGCAGTACAAGGCAAGCTGAGTACCTGCCCCCTCCTTGTCCTTTGGAAAGGTGGGAAGACCAGACAGGCCTGAGTCAGCAGAAACCAATACCACACTCCAGCTATGGCTGGGGGCCCTGCATGGGCTCTCATGAAAGGTGATGGAAGGGACGAGAGGGGAAAGGACAGAGACTTGAGATGTTTCTCAGACTCACCGATCCATCTCATTAGAGAGGTCAGGATCTGCAGGTACTTGGTCTTCTGGACGTCAAAGAAGGTGAACGGTCCGAGGAGGAGAGTGAAGATCGCCTAGGGGGTGGAAACAAGAGTAAGGGGGGCGCGGGCCACACCAGCAGACCGTCTGCACGTGGAGGACGCTGCTGCTCACGCGGCCTCCGCCCACAGCTAAGGCTGGGCCTGACTTGGGCACACCTGGACTGGCAGGGGCTCCCTGGGGTCACCTTGGGTCAGTGCCAGTGCCAGGGGTGGAACAAGAGCTCCAGAGCCATGCTTCCCTGCTGCTGCTCACAAGTACTGTTCCGACAATCCTATGCCTCCTAGGCAAGGCCCAGGTGTCATCCCAGGGACCCCATGCATCCTGCTCTGTTCAGCAAACACGGATTGAAGATCCACGATTGCCTATTCTCAAGCTGCCCATGAGCATGGACTAGAGACGCAACAGCAAGAAAGATCCAAAAGAAACACCAGCCATGTGTCTGGCTCTCAGTTTACTGGGAAGAACGGACACAGTGGGGAGGGGCCCCGGGAGCCCCGACAAAAACTCGCAGGAGGGGATGCCCCTTCTGAAGGGCTTGGAGAGGGGTGTTTGGGATGTGCCTGGGCCACGTTTTTAGCTTCAAGAGAAGAAGCCTGGAGAACAAGAGCCCCTGGCTTGTAGGGCAGGCCCCTTGGAAGTAGCCAGGATGACCAAGGGAAGGAGCTGCATCTAGCAAAACCAGGGAGAAGAAGTTCGGGAGTGAGGATGGGACCCAGACAGAGAAGGGGGTGCTGGTCGGCACGGGTCCTCTCGTTTCTCTTTGGAGAAAAGGGGAAAGTATTGAGTTAAAAAACAAAAGTCAAACTGTGTCCCAGAAAACTGGTATGTGGGAAATGGGAACCTTCCTTGCAAAGAAAAACGGGGGTAAATGTGGCAGAGCAGAGACTGGGGTGTAGGGCAGGTTAGGATTTCCATGCCAAATTGGTTGCTCGGGGAGTAGAGGAATTAAGAGCTGCTCGTTGCAGTTAAGATGATGGTACCATTTCCAATCTGCCACTCGGAAGCAGCGTGAGGCATCAGACCTTATTAACATTTACACAGTGCCATTTCACCACGTTAACGCTAATGACACTCACCAGAGATGCAGCAGGCAGCTCGGAAGCCTGAACGAATGTGGGGAGAGGGCCCGCTCGGGGAGTCAGGCTCTGGTCTGTCATCTGCGTGAATCCATCACAGCTGCTCAGCTCTCAGCCAGCCCCTGTGACTGGCAGGCGGGTGCCCAACAGAAGGGGGGCTGAGTCTGTCCTGCTCCCCACCTCTGGCCATAAGGAGGGCAGGATGTGGTAGAAGCTGTGACCTCTTATCTAAGTCCATTATCACTGTGAGGATGAATGACTCCGAGGATTGAATGCTGCTTAAGAAAAGGCTCTAATTAGCTGGGCTGGAGAAGGCGACCTGGCAGTCACCAGGTGAGGAAGTCTCTGGAAGGAAGAGCTTTCTGCTGGGGGACTCAGAACGACCCTGCTTCCGCTCAGGAGAGGGGAAGGCAGCCTTTCTATCAGGTTAGGGGGGCGGGGCAGGGGAAGGCAGAGGAAAGGGCTCTCCTCGCAAAAGCAATGGACAGCCCCTGCCGTCCCCTCAGCCCAGGGAGAGGAGCTGGGGACACAGTAACACATGCAGAACACCAACTCTGGTGGAGCAGGTCTGCACGCAGCACTATCAGTAAGTCATTTAGGAAAATTACCACTTCAGGGAAACTTTCCACTGATGAATTTCTCTTTTGAAGGATGAAGAGGGAGATGTCAGGTAGAAGAATGCATAAACACAGAGCCACCTGCCACAAATGTTTCCAAGTAACTGTGGTCTGCCGGAAACTGGACTCCTGGTGTGCCTGGGTATTTGGGTGGTTCGACTCTGACCTGTGATGCCTTCTGCTGAAATCACAGTCCTCCAGCTGTGGGGGCTGGAGATCGTGGGGGTGCTTATGTGGGAGGTCAGAGCTCATCTCAGAAGCCAAAAGACTGGTTTTTAGAAGGTTCTACACCATAAAAACAGAGGGGCAGCAGAACCACCCCCAAAGGCAGGCAGAGAATGCTCCTGCAGGCTGCCTGGGTCCCATCCCAGGACCCCTCTGTCCTTGTCCATGGCAGATGCTTGTCAAGATCCTAGGACACAGAGGCCCTATTCTGTAAAACCCTGTATGGATGAATCCCAGCCTGCTGACAGCATCCCTCTACTTAGTCAGATGTGCCTCCAAAAGATATTGTAAGTGGTATGTATGAGATGCCACTTGAGTGACCAGGAATATGAATCTAGAGGAGTTGGAACGAGGGTTCACACCCACTTAGTGTTCTCAGACCCAGTTCTGGGGACAGCAGGTCTGTCCTCAGCATGGGAAGTGGCAGTGAAAGACTCTTCTGGAAGATCTGGCCAATGGCTGTGACATCCATAGCTGGATGGTGGTTGAAATGTGACTTTTCTTTTAATGCTCAGGAGTACAGACCGACCACAAGGCTTGGGAAGGCTCAGGGCCCACTTAGTCACAGCAAACACGCACAGACTGCCAAACAGCAGCCTTTCCACGGGGCCGTGAGCTCACGCATCAGAGCGCCCAGATGAAGACGCAGACTGTGAGCTGGGGCTAATTAAGGAACAGGTGTCCTCTGCAAATTAGTTAGTGCCAGAACTCAGCAACTGCAGGGGCAGGCATCTGGAGTGACAATGGATGAGGACAGAGGCGGTGGCATGCGCTGCCATGCCACAGTGTGGCTGCTGAGGTCTCAGGGAGGGAGGGGGGTGGGCAAAGGAACAGTCTCCATCTCCAGATGGTCTAGCAGGGGCAGTGTCCGTCTCTGAATGCTCAACAGCCAAGCGTGGCACTTTGTGTTTTCTTTTCTTTTTAAAAAAGGAGACATACAAAGCCAAGAGACAGCCTACTCTCTTGGGTCTTCCAGTCTAGCCCATATGACATTATAAATTAGCTGGCTCCTGAGCAATTTCTAACCCCCAAATGCCATTGATCAGTTCAAACTCAGTCTCTGTTCAAGGACTCTTATAGCTCAACTCATTACAGGAGGCAGAGACATGAGTCGCTGCAGCCAAGCACATTTCTAAAAAAAAAAGCACAACTCTGATTTCTAATAAAATCTTCAAACTGGTCATTGGGAATAAAGTCCGGGACAGAGGGACAGACCCAGGAGGGTACAAACGGGCCCGTTCAGATCCTCTTTCTTTTTGGGTCAGTGAGTTTAGATGACACACCAGGGCCCCACAGCAGCCTTGCTGAAGTCTTGATGGAGACAAGGAGGCTCACATTCCCAGGGCACTGCAGACAATGCTCAGCCACAGTTCTTTTAGAACATTCTGGAGTCTATAGCTCAACAGGGCTGCCTGTCCTCCTGTGTCCCTAAAACGCACTGCCCACCTCCAGTTGCTCAGGCTCCAGACTTCCAGCAATCTCTGACTCCTTCCTTGTTCTCTGCATTAGGTTCCCGGGGCTGCTATTACAGATGACCACAAACTGGGGGGCTTCAAACCACAGATGTGTGTTCTCTCCCAGCCAGAAGTGCTCTCTTGCAAGGCAAGGCTCCCAATAGCGCCCCCCACAGGACAGAGCCCAGTCCTACACACCCATTAAGGATGGTACAGGCAGAGGGGAGTCATTCCTCCAGATGCCACCGGAAATGAGATTTAACCACACAGTAGGGAGTAAAGAGCACCTAATCTCAACCTCAGCCCTCTGTCGCCTGGACAGGAAAGAAATCCACTCTTCAGAATCAATGACTCAAAGATGTGGGGAAGGGACCCTGCAGCCTTATGGGTGCCTGGTGTGGGATGTGCCTGGAGATTCCCTGGAGAGGATGTGGCTTTGCCAAGGGCCCAGAAGTACTGACACTTGTGCCTACTTGAGTAGCCTGGCATCTGGGTACCAAAGGCTCAGTCACTAACTGGAGCCTCCACTTTCTTCTTGGAGTGGTTTGGAACAGACTGAATAGTCAGCTGCCCAAAGATGGAACGGGAGAAACAAATGCCGTGCTACTTCTGAGAATGGATCTTTAAATCAGGAACACTCAACTCACTCCTGCTGAGGCTAAGCCGTGTCCACCACCTGCCTCCCTCCTCTCCAGTTCTAACCCTACAGCACACGGCACTTACAGAAGAAAGGCTCCAGCTCAGCTCATTTCTGTGCCATATACAAAAGGAGTCCAGGACTGCCAACATGGTATGTCCTTTGTTTAACTGAATCACACAGGAGCGTGAGTGAGGGTGTCAACGTCAGAGCACAAAAGTAAAGCGGGTAGATACTTATCTCCCCCGTTCCCAAACTTCTCTGTCCTATTTAGCTGGTCAGAGGAACAAAATGAAATTTTAAACTTGGTGCCAATCTCAGATTAAACACACTGTTTAAGACGTTGCACAATCTCTGGGTCCGGCTCTCTGCCTGCAAAGCAAGGCTCCAAATAGCGCCCCCACAGGACAGAGCCCAGTGCTACACACGCATTAAGGATGGGGCTGGCAGAGAGGAGTCATTCCTCCAGATGCCACCGGAAATGGGATTTAACCACATAGTAGGGAGTAAAGAGAGCGCCTAATCTCAACCCCAGCCCATGGTCCCCGGGGCAGGAAGGAAATCCACTCTTCAGAATCAGTGACTCAAAGATGTGGGGAAGGGACCCTGTTATAGACCTGTCACAGCCAATCCCAACCCCACATCTTCCCAGCCCCTGGTCCTTTGATTGGCCCTGCCCCTGAGCTATCAAAGCTGCCCTGTGATAGCATCACTGCCCAGAGCTGCAGCCCCTCCACACTCTGCCAAGTGCTGACACATGCCGTTTCATTTCAAGCTCACGGCCCCCTGCAAGGTCACTGGTGCAGGTGACGATGCCCTTATCTTACTGATGAGGAAACTGGGGGCTGGAGGGGTTCACTGACACAGCAAGAAAGCGGCAGAGGGAGACGGAAGGTCCCCCTCTCTGACACCCCGTCCCCACATTTTCAGCCTCATGCCTTCACCCTCCTGCTGGCAAAGAATCTCCCCTGTGACTTTCCTTACTTCTACACCCTTCTGAGCCCTGCTCAAGTATTTATCTCC